ATAAGTCTGCTCTGTATATGCCTGTGGTAATCACCTAAAATGTGTTAAAAACAGACTATAATTAAATATCACATTGTACTTTCTCTTTCCAACCACTATTGACAAAAGGTCAGCTCTAGCCCTCTTTGTATTTCTTATGTTCAATTCTGTAACTGGAAAGATCATTGAGTTAAATATTTTCTGCACACTGATATGTATTAGCCAGAGCATAAAACAAATGAAGGAAGCCATACAAGATATGAAAAGATGGAAAGAGCTAGTCCATAGAATCATGAAGAACTAGACATGATTGAATAGTTGATATCATCATCATCATTGTCGTCATCATCATTATCGTCATCTTACATATTATGAATCATCCATGCCAAAGAGTAACAAACATGGAAAATGTGCAATGAAGTATTTGTAATTCAGAATGGCAGCTATAACCAACTGAATATATTCAAAGTGAGGCAAAAACTCTCACTTGGAACTGATTTATTCAATCATGATCAAAAGGTAATTTTTTCAAAACTGTTATATTGGACAGCTTTATTCTTCACCAGACTTTTCCAATATAATTTCCAAATAAGTGGAACTGTAATTACCATAATTCCCAGCCAACTATTCAAGCCAATAATCACAGTATGGATCGTATAAGTCACATACGCCCTTTATAGAACTGAAGAAAGTTAATCTACATGAACAAGGAGTGCAAAAATTTTTTTACTAAATTATTTCATTTAATAGTTCAATTCTCTATCCCATGTTTCATTAGATGGTCTCCAAATGATTTAAAATATAAAACAATAACATACAATCAAAGCAATAGCAAAAAGTAGATATAAACAGACAATGAAACAATTAGAGCCAGCACTTAGAAGTCTAAATAAAGGTACCATAAATATAATTAAATCAATTCTCAATACAACTAAAATCTGATTAATTTACTAATTAAATATATTATTAAATATCAGAATAGATTAGCTGGCATTTTAAAGTTTTAGAATAAGATCCTAAAAGATCTTGTGTGAGGAAGGAGGCAGGGGGTATGCTCATAGTATTACTATACTTAAACATAAAGATTCTTTTTTCTAGGATCTCCCTGCTTAATCTATAAAACAGAAAAAGGCCACGGGAGTATTTAACTAAGAAACAAGAATATGTGGAAAGAGGCAATCCTTCAGTAATCTGAGATCTAGATTATACACATATATAAAAAGCCAAAATACTCTTGCTAATTTATAACTGTTTGGGTTTTTAACACTACATTTTCTAACAAAAGTTTGTTTTACCCACACAGTAATAGGCAATCCTTTGCTCTCCAGAGCTTTAGGACCTAAACTTTCAATTGGCCCAGAAAACATAGACAAATATAGGAAATTATAAAACCCTGTGAAGCATGCATCCATAAGGCTGAAGTTCATGATTACAAGCTATATCTTATTGTGAATTCATAGACAGTTATCCGTCACTGAAGAGGTGAAACTTTTACAGCATGTCTAGTCCTAGAAAGCTCTTTTCCTGTGCTTCCCTGGGAATCAAAACTTTAGCTTTCCACTTCTCATGCTTACTTGTTAATAACTTGCATAGAACCGTTATTTGTAGCAATAATCTCTTGTCACTAATTGAAGTGATTGAAGCTGATAGTAAATTTTAGCCTGCTGTGTTGTCTTCTTCACTCTTTCATCACATTCAAAAACATTGAATTTAACATTGTATGCATTCTATTAGATTAAGATTTTCAAAGCTTGACAAAATGTCAGGTCATATAAATAAAAAAAAGAATCATTAGCTCTGAATATCAAAAACAAGAAGATAATACATTATTATTCACGTAACCGGTCCTACATTGTGATATGCACTCATATGGGCAAATGTAGGAATAGCACACATTCTGGATTAGATTCTGAATTAGCTGTAATTAGTGTAAGACTATAAAAATTTAATTCAATCTATATCTGCACCAATATTTCTGATTGCTGCTGTTAACAACAAACAAATATCTGGGCTAGGTTAATAGAAAGTTAAACGCAGGGACAGACATTGTTCCTATGTAGCCTATATTCTCTAGAACAGCTCACAGGGGATCTGACACACTCTGTATCCTCTGCACAGCTTATATCTGTTACTGATGTCAGCTGCAAGGCCAGTTGCAGGAAACGCAGAATACAGTTCAAGTTACCACTCCAGTCACACTAGAGCAGGGGTAGGCAACCTCGGCTCTTTTATGACTCATGGACTTCAACTCCCAGAATTCCTGAGCCAGCATAGCTGGCTCAGGAATTCTGGGAGTTGAAGTCCATGAGTCATAAAAGAGCCGAGGTTGCCTACCCCTGCACTAGAGGAACTCATTATTTCTGCAAAGTTACAAAAGGCCAGTTACATTATTTCTGCAAAGTTACAAAAAGAGTCAGATAGTTGCTACTGGCTAATTTTTGTTTGCGCAGGATAAATTTTATAGATACTTTGTAGTTCTTGTCTTGTATTTTGCATATTTTAAATTTCACATAATTTAAATCTTACATAACTAAAATACACTGCTTTGCTTATTCCCACAAATTTACAGGTCCTATTTCTTACTCTAGAACTTATCAAAATGTTTAGTGGTTTTTATGCAGCATTTCCCCCCCCCCATATTAGATGACATCATGTCATGACACTAATCTTTTAGTAAGGTTCACTGAAAGTAATACTACTAAGTAATATTTACTGGAAGCAGTAACCCAACTACTTCCTGTTTGATAAGAAAGTGTAATCACCCCACTCACTTGGAGCTTCATCAGGTCAACAAGGATACTGGTTATTGGGCTGCTTCTTCTCTATCCTCAGAAGAATAATTCAGCAAGAAAACTGGGCCATCTGGAAGTTTTTCCAGAAGAGAAGGAAATTCCATCTTGGAATTAAAATCCAAATTGAATAAATGATTTCCACTGTCCTAGGCTAGTAAGTAAGTAAGTCCTGCTCAGAATACCACAGCAAGATAACAAGATTTTTGGAAACCCAACATTACCCAGATATAGGTAATCCTTGATTTACAATTTATTTCGTGATCATTTGAAGTTACAATAGCACTGAAAAAAGTGACTTCTCACCATTTTTCACACTTAACGACTGTTGCAACAGGAACAAAACTCGTGACTTGGCAACTAAGCCTGCAATGTGATCAACATTTGTAGCCTTCCCAGCTGCTTCCAACAAGCAAAATCAATGAGTGAAACCAGATTCCCTTAATGACCACATGAGTCACTTAACAACTGCAGCAATTTGCTTAATAACTGTGACCAAAACATTGTAAAATAATGTGCAACTTAATAACTGCCCTGCTTAGCAATGGAAATTTTTACAAAAGTTCTGTTCGTAAACTGAAGGATTTAAGATTAGTTTCCTAAATAAAACAGAATTTAGTGCAAAGATCATATATCACTATTGTAATCACATATATACAGACAGATCAGCTGCAAAGATTTTCTATATATTTAAAGCTATTGACATCACAAGTCCATCTCTGTAAGAATTTTTAGTATTATCAAAACACTGTTTTGGTATTTTTGCTATTTTTTTCCAAATGCATTTCTGCTTGGTGGGTATATAAAGATGAATACCATGCGGTAACTTTCTAATCCTATATAGCATTATATCTTAGTGTGTTTCTGTGAATTAAGCAGGGTGAATATGAAAAGTCACTTGTGTGCTATCATTTGCATTTAGGACTTACAGTAGGTATCTGCTCCAAGCCATTGTATAATGCTGCAGAGTTGCTCACCTATTAGGTGCAAACTGAAAAACAGTCTCAGGCAAGGAAAAAAACCCTAACCTATTTTTTGCTCCACATGTCTTCCTCTTGCCTGAGAGCAAAAGAAAATGTGAAGAAAATAATGCAAAGCAAATGTTGCTACTTTATAACCCTTTTTAGTGGGATATCACTGGATTGAGATAAACATGTAACTGTTTTAATTGTCTTATGGAAATACAGTTGGGGGGGGGGGAAGAAAAGATAAATAGAGTATCAAGAACAGGATAGAAAGGGTGCTATAAGATGTACAACTAAGCCAGATGTTATAATATTAGAAAAAAAATGCTGCTGCAGATTGATGGAAACACAGTGACAGTTGTGAATGACATCTGGGACCATTAATGACACCTGAGACAAATGTTTTAGAAACCTGCTTTGCTTACTCTGATTATGAAAATATTGGAAGATTTTAATAAAATTGTTCACCAGATAACTGCCAAACAGCAGCATCTATGGGACGGAGAAGGGAGATAAAAGTAGCATCACACTAATACAACAGAAATGCCACCCTTTCTGTTTATGCATTGTGGACTTTGTGTAGATATGAAAAAAGTGGAGCTTCCATCACAACAATGTGACACAGCTTTCATCGGTCTGACAACAACAATGGATTGTGCAGACTACTCTACAGTACAACCAATGCCCCCCTCTTCAAAAATAGTTGAGGGCTAGGTGGGATAAACAGTTGGGCATCAACTGTTCTTAAAGGTAATGAGCAACTACTTGGACAAACTATTTACCCTTTTAAAAATATCTGGAGCCCACCCACCCTCTGAGATTGTGTGTGACGCAACAACACATACCTTAGCACTAGCTGGAAAAATAGGCTCTGTTCTGAGCTGGAAAAATATAAAGGAAAGGAGATAACATCATCCTTTCTTAGACCTTGACTGAAAGTTAACTGAGAGGATAGCTAAGATACTGCACCTTTCTATGTGGTCTACATTCAAAACAGAACCTCAGGATGCTTTCAGTCATCCAATCAAGAGTCCAGAGAAGGAGGCAGAGTCTAATTAGCTTGGAGAAGGAAGAGACTGATCCTTGTGCTGCTCTAAGCAGACTTCCAGTGTCAGAACCAGTGCTTGTAAGTGATATGGAACAGGTGACTGTGTTGCATACAAGCCTTTATAGTGCTGAAAGAAAGTTATGTTTCTTTCCTGGCTTCCTATAAGAGAGCAGACACAAGAAAAGAGATTTCCATATTTAGCAGTCAACTTGGGCTTACCTGGATCACTAGTTTATTTTCTTTATTTGGTAGAATCCTGTAAGTATACACGCAGTTTTGATACCTGGAATGCATGAAGAGAAAACATTAAAATAGTTCAGAAAAAAAATCATCTTGGGAAACCATCCAATATTCTGAACAGTCCCCAGAATTGTTTATAAGGTATGCATCCACTCTAGTTTTCCCTATGAAAAGGTTTCTGTCAGTTCTCAGATACTATACTTTTAATTCTATCTTGCTAATAGCAATCTACTGCTAAAGGCTTTTGTCCTTTAAAAACCCCTCTTTTGTTAAAAAAAAAAGTCTTGTCAACCTTTTTTTCCATGATGTAAGAATAGCTAGAGTATTTCAGTACAGTATTGTAGGATTTTGATCTGAAAAGATTTCAGTCTTGATATCTATTTCCATTTTTCCTCACATATTTGTAAAAATAAATCTGAAGATTCATGTTAATATTTTGTCCCCAAGAACATTGTTTTTAAAGAACAGAAATTCCCAAAGCTTTAATGAATTTCAAGCTTGATTTTTTTAAAAAAAATTAAAATAAAATTTTTTTAGTATCAGAAAGTACACACAAAGTAATAAACAAAGCATCTCTTGTTGTCTGCATGCTGCTTTTTCATTTTTGACCATGAAATAATTTCCAATCTTTTTAAGAACAGTTGTCAAATTAAAGTCAAGGGGTACTTGGAAAATCATTACAATGAAAGGGCTGCACCTGAATATCAGCTGACAAAGCTATTTTTCACTCAGCTATAAAGGAAGAGAAAGTAGCTGCTGGTTGTTTTACATAAGCATCCTGAATCACAGAATCAGTCATCTGTATATCAATGTGCATAATTATTGCACATGCACTCAAATCCTTCCCTTCCAAATGGAATGGAAGAGGGCTCTTGACACAAATGGCTTGGCTTCCTCTGGCTGGATTGGATTCACACTTTTCTCCAATTAGGAACTCTCTCCAGTTGGTGTGCTGATGCTTCAGTTGCTGAAACAAATTGTGCACTGAATAAATGCTAAAGGTGCACTGAAGAAATGGCAAAAATGACATATATTGGGTTTCAAATTGCCAGATGTGCAATCTGCATTTTTAGTTTAAGTTGCTGAAGATTCATTGACTGCATTTCCACCAGTGGTTACCATGATTATTAAATGCAAATGTATGCCTTCAAAGGTAATAATACTATGGAATTTCTCACAAAAAGCTGCTTTCGCTTGTTTCTTTGAGACCTATTATGCCAATGATTTCCACTTATCACTATCTACAAAAAAAAAACCCTCATGAATTGATTTAGGTTTGTTTTTCTGATCGATATGTCATAGAATATATCCTTAACAATATCGTCCAGAACACTTTTAAAATTTTCCTAATATGTGAATGATACTACTTTTCCATTGCATTTATTTTATACTCTATTCCTCTTTATTTTTACATATAAATCTGAGTTAGCTGTTCTTTATCTTAAATAATGCTTTTCATTTGTGAGTGGAATAACCTTGCTACAGTAGAAAAAGATTTGTGTTTGCACTGTATCCTGACAGCAATATTCATAGTGTGGCTAAGACCCTTATAGGACCTTGTGCCTTATATCAGTATAGTTAAGATGTTTAATAGAAACGATGTTTAAGTAGAAAAATTAGGAAGCCTCCTATTTCAGAAGAATGGAATTAGCAGAGAGCAGCATTGCCTTGTACAAATTTCATTAAATTTTAATATAATTCCAGCACATTCATAACTTTAAAAAAAATGCTGGTACAAATTTACTGATTGGCCTGGCTTCACGAAAAATATTTCAAGTCACAATTTTAGGAAAAGTTGCAATTTCAAAGTAAATTTCTCAGAGGGGAAAAATAAAAATTGGGAAATGACAGAGAGATAGAAATAAGAAATAATGTAGTCTCTTTCATAAAACTCTGAACGAGGGAAGGTAGTCACACAAGGCAGTCTAGAAGGCTCTTCTGAAACAACAAAAGGAGAGAAAACTTTGTTTTTCATCAGAGTTGTTACTGAAATTCAAATTTAATTTTAAAAAAGATGTTCAATAATATCACTCTAAGAAATATCCTTTTGTTCCAGGCCCAACTATACTTTTATAGCCACTTAAAAAAAAATCTGCAGAATCTTTGGAGGCAACTTCTGCTAACTTCAGATCAACAGTTTGTTTCTGTATCAGAAAGAGTGGAGGGATAGGAGAGCCACTTTATTGAAATGAGGCAAGACTGAAATAAATACTACATGTGCAGATTCCTCCTCCAAAGTGTAGACTTTGGCCACAAGAGAGTTATGCAGCTCTGAATCTGATACTAGTGTACTGTAATTTGCAGCAAGATTAGGATTAAACAAATTCTAAAACTGGGAGGGCAGGACCATAGAGTTTCCAGTACTGGGGGATTAGACATTTCCCCCTTCTTTTTCCAACTGGGAAATTGACAGAAACAGTCTTTTCCACAATGCAATTAGGGGCATGGAAAATGGTTTCTGCTTCATGCCAGTGGAAGTTTTAATCCTATTGCTAATTGTGACCTGTACCATCTTCATTAGGAGGAAAAAAAGGTGGAGCTCTGTCCAGAAAGTGAAATTTTTCTGCCAAGCACTTAGAATTGGTGAGAGAAGTTGGTTTACTTGCAAGCCTTCTTTTTAGAGGCAGGATTTTATAGTGTGGTGTTTTTATTGAAGAGGAAAGGTCCAACTTTCCATAAAAAAGTTAAAATACAATTATTTATTTATTAGTTATAATTTATTTGTCATAATAATTATAATTATTATATGAAGAGCCAGAGAATTTATAATAAAAAACAGACTTGCTTCCATCTTCTGTAAGACTGCCATACAGTCTTAAGATTTTGTGTAGCACTAACCAGAAGACCTAATTCTCACCAAATTTAGGCTTGTTGGGTAGACATAAACTGATAGTTTTGCAGGCAGCACTGCAGCAACCGGAATAGGCTGAAGCCTGCAGCTTCTCTGCTGTTCAGTGGAGAAAGTTATGGATCTGTCCAGTGACAGAAAGACAGAAAGAGGCAGGGATTAGCTACTGCTGTCCAGAAGAACAAATCTACTCAGGAGTATGTATGTATGTATGTATGTATCGGACCCTAACACATCACCCAAACTCAGGGCTCTGAGGAGAACCAAACCAAAAACCCAGGCATTGTAACAAGATTAAAGGATTAAGTTCAGAGTTTGGGTTTTGGTTCTTCTCAGAGCCCTGAGTTTGAGTGATGTGTTAGGTTCTGAAGTGGTTGAGCAGGAATGCCTAGAAATAGGGAAAAAGACTCATCTCCCAAATGCCAACTGCACAGTTTGCAAAACAGAAGTTTGTACCATTGGTTTGAGATGGACTTTTTGTTTAATCAAATAGTATTCCACATGAGAGTTGTATCATATCATAATCATGTCTCATTCACAAAATTGCTTCTCACTGCCTAAAAAGCCTCTTAAGCAAGAAGAGGAAAGATGCTTGCACAATGCCTTTTAATTGTAAGGCTATCATATATGTTTCATAATCACATACACAAACTTTGCTTTTCAGCTTTTTGGCTCATATCTTCACAGGCTATGACCTGAAGGGCAGACAAGGAATAATGGATGGAAATTGATCAAGGAGAGATTCAACCTAGAAATAAGGAGAAATTTTCTGAAAGTGAGAACAATCAACCAATGGAACAGCTTGCCTTCAGAAGTTGTGGGTGCTTCATCACTGAAAGCTTTCAAGAAGAGATTGGATAGCCACTTGTCAGAAATGATATAGGGAATCCTGTCTGAGCAGGGGGTTGGACTAAATGACCTACAAGGTCCCTTCCAACTCTGTTAGTCTATATTCTATATTTTTTAGCCACTAGCACTAATGATAAAAATTACTACAATAAAAACAATGGAGTAGAAATTTCAGAAAATGTAGCATATGCAGCTCAAATAAAGTACAAAATTATCCCCAAATACAATCATACTTTGAATGATTTCATTAGTTTAAGTAAACATTTATAGCCTTGGATTTTAATATTTGACCAGATAATGTGCTTCTTTAATAAAAGGCATAGGAATCTGCTCTGTATATTTTTAAGTAACGGAGCTCTTTCTTCATGATAAAATTTCACAACAGTACACTATTATATATTCCACCAAACAAAGGAAAGAATACTAAATAAAATATTAAAATACAAAAGATTTCCTTGTTATAAATCAAGATAAATTGATGGAAACGTTTAATCATTTTATAAGAGGATACCTTTTAAATATTTGCCATTAAATAAAGAAGATAATGAGCAAATATTTTTTATATATGATAATGGGATGTATAGCTTTTGTCATTTTTCATCTGTGAAGCTCTCTGAGAACAGAGTATTAAGAATGCTGATGGGATCCATAAATACCTTGAAAAAGTGGAACTGAAATGTAGATAAAATGTTCCTTTCAGCCTCTAGTAAAGCTGAGGAGGCATTTCCTGCTGTGTTTAAAACTGAATTTAGGACATTATTTAGACTTTATATGGTTTCAATTAAAAAAAAGACCATCAAAAATTTAGATGATACAAATATATATAATCTATAACTTTTAGTTTAGTTTTTTTTAAAGTCTAATACCTTTTTCCCATGGTAAATTGATTTTATGGGGGATACCCAACTTTAAAAATTGGATCAAAGATGGTGATATGGAAAAATTGGACGGAAATGGGGAAACTTACTTTGGACTAACTATTACATTGTGTTAAAAATTCATTATCTATCAGGTGGTCCAAAGTACACATCAGATATTGAAATATTTACAGCTACAATATTTGCTAACATTATTTGGACTAGCAGCATTTTCAGTTTCTGAGACATCTGAGATAATAGAACAATTTGTTAATTCCTTTAAACTTAAAAATCATTATTAGATATTTGTTATCAGTAACTCAATTTGATATGCAAGTGCTAAGAAAAGAGTGGAATAAAGAATTAGGTTTCCTATATTGTCTAGACCGGGGCTTTTCAACCTTTTCACAGATTGTACCGCTTTTAGGACATGACAATTTTTGAGTATCACCAGTGCTTAGCAAGGTGTCAAAAATTTGATAACTAGAAAAAGGGGGGATTTTGGGTTTTACTGATTAAATTCATTTGTTGTTATAGAAATGGCTAGTTTATAATATTATGGAAAAGTAAAAAGTTGAGGTTCAATGTTTATGCTTCCTTCTACTGCAACACTGCAACAGAGGAAGTCTATTCTTTTTCCCTTCTCCCCCTCACTTCCCCCCCCCTTTTCCTCCCAATGTGTCCTACTATTTGCTTTTGTATTTTTGTATTTTATTCTATAATCTAATAAAATATTACAAACTGTAGAAAAAAAAGAAAAAAGTACCAGTTTTAATTTCTTCAGTGGCTTTTCCTTTGCTGAATTACTTTCCCTTTGCACTGACAAATGTATGATGAATGTATCCATGTTTATTAATATGCACCACTACCAGTTAGCTCAGGGGTCTTCATACTAGGCACTTTTAAGACTTATGGACTTCAACTCCCAGAATTCCTCAGCCATTATGGCTGATTGAGGAATTCTGGGAGTTGAAGTCCACAGGTCCTAAAGTTGCTAAGTTTGTAGACACCTGAGCTAGTTGGTCAGCCCTTCTTCCTCTCTCCCTTCTGAGTGTAGTAAGAATGCAGCCCCCAATTCCTTCTCTGTACCCTTAAAAACACGGGAATAAAGTGCAAAGCCAGAAAGGCTCACAAAATAAAGAAACACATAAACTCCTGGGTTTTTTTTTCTTTAAGCTGCCTCAGGCGTGTCACGTGTCACAATGTTGCAATCCAAGACTGAAAGGTTTCAGCAATTGCAAAAAGCTTTAGCCTTAATTTAAGCCTGTTTACCTTCAAATAAAACTTTCTAAAAACCATAGACAGACTCAAGATAAGGGGGTAAAACTCCCTCAGGCTTGGGTCGCTTCGGCTCATTCCCCTCCCCCGCTACACTTCTCTAGGACAGTTGCTCATGTATCACCTGTCATGAGGCAAAATACCATAGATGGTACATGTACCACTGGTTGAAAAGCCCTGGTCTAGACAATGGGAAAGTGTCTTCTGTAACAGGTATGTCAAATTGGCAGACCATGGGCCGGATGCATCACACACAGGCCATGCCCACCCTGGCTCTGCAAAGGCAAAAAATGTTGCAATACATCATGAAATGTCACGTGATGCAATCGAGTTTGACAGCAGCATTCTATAGCAAGATAGTGAATGGATCTCAGACTTACATAACAAAATATTAGAATTTATTGGATTCAATTACATTAGTATAGAAAAGAAATGTGAAAACCAGCATTTTATTGGAGATGTAATAAGGATAATACTTCTTTAAAATGCAGTTTTTTTTACAATGCCCCATGCTTACTTAATTTGGGGAGTAAGTAGTGCATTATATAAACATGATTGTGTGATAAAAGCTAAAATGTTCAGAGTATAATATTATCTTGAACTACATATCTAGTACATGGAATTTGACAGCTGATCAACTAAACAGATTCTTTGTTGCATTTTTCACTTTTTAAAAATACTTTCTATGGATTTTTTCTTTGATAATGAATATATATTTATTATTATCATTATGTTTTGTTCTTTTCTTTTTTATTTTAAAATCAATTTTGTTATCATTTTAAAAGCAATGAAAATAAACATTTTTTAAAAAGAGCTGGAAGAACTAAAATTTCAAGATCACAGTAATATAATATCAAATAAAGATTTCCCCAGGTTTTAAATATTAAATTATTTAATACCTATTTTATTGTTAATTTAAATGAGGTTTAAACCTTTTTTATTTAATGAGACAATCAAGAATATTCACCAGAGTAGAAAAGCAGTGTATCAATCAAATAAGAATGACACCAGGTAATTTACTAAAGTGTATATTTAGTACTAGAAATTGGATTTATATTCATTTAGGGCATTTTAAAAATAACTTGATTGGGGAAAATTGTTTCAATGGATAACTATAATCCTGCTGTAAAAGGTATGGATCTGCTTAAGATATTATTGAAAATTTCCCACTCTCCATTCAAGGACAGTTTCAGTGTTTCATTTTTTTTGCATGAAAGAAACTTATGGCAAGAAGTGAAACACCTTGAGCAGATCAACACTTGCCCAAACCAAGGAACTAAATATTGAATTATCTTATATTTTTAAATTAGATTCCCTCGCTCAGAATGCTACCAATTCAGCTCAATACCAGCTCAGAAATTCCTTGTTCTAAAAATGACTTAAAGCTATTGTGTATTCTTCTAACAGTCTAGAACTATTACCTGGAGGTAATTTTACGGAGATTAGAAATGGATTTCAGAATATTATTTAATGAAGCATTAACTACAGGTGTGGTCAAAAAAATCAAAATAGTAGCCATGACTATGCAATTGAAGCTATGGATATTTTTTTATACATTGACCATACTCTGTAGACACCCTAATTTGTTTACTTAAGTATTACCTCTACTCTTTGTCCACTCAGGAATTCAACCTGGTATGCCAAGTATCAATTAATCTGCTGATAACATCTTTAAATTATAAACTTTATTTATCAAATTAAAATGTCAGAACAAATCACATTGTGGCCAAGCACTAGGAACACCATAATCTAGGCACCAGACAACCGTTTTTAGAGGAGTTAGTTAACAGCATCAAGTAGAGATATAATATATGTCAAAACACAGAGAAAAGAACTTAGCAAACAATACTAGTATTTCTTTAGTAATCAGACTATATTCTCCAGCAGTCCTACAATAAATACTAAGATTAATTGTCCTTTTGATTTCTTATACCCTCTTTACAAACTTTTTCTTATTCATCAGGCAAAATCAAAGATTATTTGATCATAATAAGCTATAATGTATATATATATGTATGAGTGGATGTTTTAGTTTTGATAAAACATAATGTTTAAACATTTTGTTTCATTTACTATAACATTTGAACCAACCATCATAATAGGACCATCACCAACTCCAGTGAAAATATGAATTTGCCTCACTCATAATTCGGAGATTTTATTTGGAATTAATCAGCTGCTCATTGAAAAAATAAGTATTTTTAAGGGCTACAGTACTAAGGATCCACAACATAATTCAATGATCTATTATTGAATTTCTGCTATAGAGTGCAGTGGAAAAGGAAACATTCCTGGCAAAAATGCAAATTTTCTGCATAATTTGTTTTCAATAACTTGTATGAGAGGGTCTCTGTGTATGAACAATTTAGAACTAGAACTGTTTTTTGATTATTCCTAGTTCTTCACATGCAGAACAAAAGTTGCACAATTTACAAGAAGAAGGCACTTGTGCCCCTTAGATTTTGCTGAACTTCTGTATCCAGGAAATTTTGAAGGATATAATTTGCCTATCCTTCCACTGCTGAATTACAACATTTACATTAACTGACTTTCTATATAATTAAGCAGTCTGGATTGAAAAGAACAATTTTCTTCAGATGTTTTCCATATATTCCCAGGTATACACTCCGCCAGCATACCCCCCCCAAAAAGCAATATCTCATTAATCTAAGTAAGGTAAATCAGGTCAACATCCTTTATCAAGTCTTTGCATACACAGTATCTATAATTACATCAATCATACCTCAGTTCCTAAGAAAATTTGGTTCCTGGGTGCTAAATCTAGTGATTAGTCTGACCTCAGTTTGCTAAAATGAAAATAACAAGAAGATGAGATCTTATGGCTAGCTCCATAAATGTTCTAAAAATTACCTTTTGTCCAATGCCTATGTTTATTTATTATGAAATTTATTTTACCACAATTCTGGTAAATATGTTACCATTTTTTCAGATAATTTATTCTATAATTGGCCAAGTACTTTTAATGCTTCTTCTACACTTCTTCAAATGTCATCACCCATCATACAGGGACAAGACCCTTCTTCCAATTCTCTGTGAATTAAATCAGTAAAAGAGCAGGTGAACTGAGGCAAAAGCAACAGCCGTACTCACAGCAAACAGAGGGCGTAAGCTGAAGAGACAGACTCACTGGCCCGGACGAGAAAACTTCCATCCTTGCCCACTTTAGAAAGTAAGTCCTCGGCTTTTGAACGAGTGATGCTTCCGTGATACCAGCACTGATCCATGCCTTGGATTTAAAAAAGAAAAAACCCAAAATATAAAATAAAACTTGAAGAAACATTAACTACTCAGATAGCAGTTAAGAAAAGATCTCAAAGTTGTCTGTTCACAGAGCTCAGCAGCTGCTTGCTACTCACTCAGCTTCCTGTTTAATGGTGGAGAGAGACACAGAGAGAGAGAAAGGAAACAGAGCAGAGAACTTCCTCATACAAATTAAGCTAAATGAAATGGGCCAACCACACACACCTCCCCATTCACTCTCTCAATGCAACTATACAGTACTGCCTTCACCAAGTAGTTGGGATTCCATCTTAGTTCTTTCTTTCAACTTTGCAGAAATTTGAAAGGATTAGCTTATTCTTAGAACATTGCCCCTAAATTAAATTGTCATTATAAAACATGACAGTCTAATTTCTTCGTTTACTCTGCTTCTGTTTTCCTTGCTCCTCATCTATTATATCTGACTTACTGTGTGAGTTTTCATACAGCGAGCGGAGAGAAAAATGAATAAGTCTCCAGGGATATCAATAGGAGCTAATTGTGGCTAGTGATTCTTGATTGTGCTGGAAGAGTTTAACCTGCTGATAAAGAACAGACCATCTCTGAATATCTACTTAGGACATTCTGGCTTCTGTGCTAACTTTAGATTATTCCAAATAATGGATCAATACTTGGATAATCTGGAAAAAAAAAACGCTGACCCTGCATTTGTGGGACATGTCAGCAAGAGAAAATAAGTGTCCTAGTATTTGTGACAGAATGAATGTAATCTCTGATATGAGTCATTTAGACTGAAACACTTTCTCTGGTGTTCGTATCCATGAATCTCTTCCTTTAATAATTGTGCTGTTTCCTACTCCCTTTGCCTCTATAACTGCAGCAAACATGCATGTCCTTTAAAGCTAGAATTTTGATTAGTAACTGATTTTTGTACAGATTTTTCCTTATGCTGCTGAACTTGCCATAAGGCTTGTTTTGTACTTCTCATTTACGTATTGTTAGCTGCCTTGAGAGTTCAAATGGAGTAGAAAGATAGGATAAAATGATATTAAAAAGGCATGTGATTTTTTTATACTGGGTTTTTGGTAGTATTCATATCTCCACATCTCCAAATGTATGGTCTAAAATTTCCTGTAAAACCTTTTCTCTCTAATCTAGAGGAAGCCATGGTGTTGTCCTCAGCATTTCACAAGGCAGGTTGGGCTCTATATCTGCCATTGCCTCTGATTTTGCTGACATGTGAAGAATAGCAGGTGGACCAAAGCTCTTGCTCCAGTGTTTCTCCTCCAGTTAATCTTTCCAGTTGGTTGTTCATTGCAGTATCCCTTTGTTTTACAAAGGACCTCAAAGGGATTTAGCAGATTATTTAGGTGCCAAGATAACTACTATAGATTATTTTTGGAACATTGTCTGATGATGAAAGTTAGAAAGATATTTCCCTCCTGTTGCCATAGGGTTGGAAATGTGCCCTCCAGCAAAATTATTATTCTTTCCAATCCAGTGGAATGTTGGAAAGAAACTATAAAGGGGTGTTGGGACTCAGACTGTCTGCAGAATAATTTTCTGAAAACTGAACAGAATAGAACTAAATTCGGTATGGATGGAGAAATTGGCAGACAAAAGGTTGAATTAATACTTGGCTGGGTCAAGTCAGGATCTACCCAAGGCAAAGGGTGCTTGGGGGCTGAAACATTCCTCCAATGCCTCCCCTGGGAGAGGCTCCAATGTTGTGACTGCTCCATTCTAAGCCTCCCCTCATTTTTCCTTCCTGGTCATATGACTGAGAGCAGAGCAGCCCCATGCTATCCAATGAATACATACAAACAGAAACAGATGGAACATAAGAAAAAGAAGGAAGAAAGGCAGAGATGTATAACACACGCCATTCTTGATAAAAAAAAAATTAAGATTCCCAGAAGCCACAACTGGTGGTTTCCCCATCTTCTTCCAAATTATGCAAAATTTGGTATATTTAACGGATCCCTTTTATCAGTACAATTTGGTTAAGATGGCTCAAAGTAAAGATGGAAACGGCAACCAACCACTTACTGTATGTTTCCTAGCTTAAGTAAAGAATGCATTTCTCACAGTGAGTTAAATACTATGAAAAATCCAAATGAAGGCTTTTTAATTTTTTGGAGCGATCAGGTGCATCATAGATTTTGGAATAGGTTCAAGCAGAGATTGAGTTGGTAACATGAACTGTGGCTGATGTTTATCTAAAGGCTAAGATCAAAGGCTGAACCTTATTAATTCTCTTGCATTTGTTCTGAGACCTTCAGTGCTACAATCTAAGAACAAGATTTGGGTGATATTCTTTACAAATGAGTTCCAGAATGTACAGTGGGGGGAAAAGCTTGTGCTATATTTGGTAAAAAAGCTGACAGGTCAATAATATTTGCATAACTGTAAAATCTGTGGTTTCCTGTCTGCAGCGGATAGCAACTGTACTAAAGACACTGTCCCAAGTGTTTCAAGCAGGGGTTACAAGGCATGGAGTAAAACTAATTTTAAAAACATTGAATGACTGGATTTTGCATCACCACTATATGTTCAAGGAACTGTACGTTCTATAACATTTGTTCAGGCACAACAATAAGGAACCTTATTATTATTCTGTATTTTGAGAATAAGAAAAGATATGTCACCTGAAGAAGTCTTGAGATTGCTGTTGCTATAGATTCAGTACTATAAAGCTGCATAAGGTAGCAACATAGGCCAGTGAGACAAAGTTCCATAAGGCTTCCATGGAGTGAGAATATATAAAGAGCTAAATAGTAGAGCTCTGAAACAAACAGGTATATTGTTTAAGATTTACAATCTTCTACCGTAGGGTAGTCATGTCCATAATCACATAAAGGAATTTTGCAAACTAATGTCAAAGATATAAATGGCTTATTTGTTCAGCCTTTTGAGTTGGAATTTTGTTGAGCTTTATGCTGTCCTAAAAGCAGCATTGCTGCTGGCTAAGCTGGCAAATATGATTTCAGCATATGATATTGTGACACTTTCATGAGGCTTTACATAGCCACTTATACTAAATGATTCTATTCCATCTCATTTTCATATTAATGTTCTTATTCTCGAATAACATCTTGCGTTATAGATGGCTTGTGGCAGGTGTTTATATTATCATGCAATCAGTAAAATACATGTAATATTTCAAACACTTCCTATAATTAAACAACTCTCCATTGGCCCATTGTAGAATGGATATGAGGTTATATTAACTAGCATATGTTCAGTGGGGTACTAGCAAACAAGGTAGACTTCAACTTATTTCCTTAACACAGGGGTCTTCAAACTTTGCCCTTTTATGACTTCAGTTCTGGGAGTTGAAGTCCACAAGTCATAAAAAGGCCAAGTTTGAAGATCCCTGCCTTAACATGTATGGACTTTTTCTGCTGTAATGCTGAGAAGTTGCATTTCAAGAGAAATAGATGTAATTATGTAAATTAGGACAGATTTCTTAAGAAACCATGTGTTGCCAAACCTACCAATTTTCTAAGAACTGATGCCCTTACTTTAGAAGATAATGCAAAACTATACTCAAATAAAAACAAACAAACAAACATCTAACATCAGATACTTTCTTCCTGAGACTTCTAATAATAATTTAATTGTAGCTATTTTTTGCAGTGGTTCCTAAGTTGAGTCCTACAAAAAGAGGCAAATCTGATGGCCCAAACTGCTGGCAGTTTCTTGGTTGAAGTAAGCAAGTGAAAATGTTAATCTGAAAAGAAAATATTACTATTAGTACAATCATTATATGAAGGACAAGTGGGATATATATATAAAAAAATCTAGTAACAATGTTTACACATCAAAGTCACTCTGTCATTCAGTGTGATACATGAACACAAGCATTCTGGTTTGTAAACCATGACTTATTGTAGTATAGTTCGTAACGCTATAGTTTTTTGATTCTTAACAAACCATTGTTAAAAGAAACCTGCTTTGCATGGTGTATAAATGCTCTCTATAGCTAGACATAGTAATTCAATTTTATTCCCATTTATTCCTACTGTGTGAGATGGGTGGCCATATAAATTTCTTAAATAAATAAAATATTAATTGCCCTTATTCAACTCAAAGCTATTAAGCTATTAAGCTTCTTTTTGTAAATGACACCATCTGGGCTATATAAGAAGCCACTTATATATCTGAATGAAGACCACACAACTGCTCTTAAAATATTGTGCTATTTTTCTTATAATTTAACCATGATCCTATAGTATCTGAATTTTGTTTTTTATTCTGCATCTTCCCCCAATTTGCTTGCCTATATGCATTCTTGTTGATGCCATAGAAATTGAGGGTGGTCCTCTGACCTATCACTTTGCATGGACAACTTCACATGAAGAGTATAAACTTGTACATTGAAAATGCAGGAAGAGCACTATTTTAAGAGCTTCAGTTTCTGTTCGCAGTTCAAAGAGTTTCAAATAGATTGGTTTTAGAATAAAGTAACAGAATAACAGAGTTGGAAGGGACCTTGGAGGTCTTCTAGTCCAACCCCCTGCTCAGGCAGGAAACCCTATTCCATTTCAGACAAATGGTTGTCCAATCTCGTCTTAAAAACTTCCAGTGTTGGAGGCAAGTTGTTCCACTGATTAATTGTTCTAACTGTCAGAAAAAATCTTCTTAGCTCTAGGTTGCTTCCCTCCTTGATTAGTTTCCATCCATTGCTTCTTGTCCTAAATTTTTTTATTTAAAAATGATTTGATTCATTTCTCCCAACAATGCCTGTTCTCTTAGCATCTCATGAATTCCACCTTTTATGCACATTTTATAGATATACCTAATCATCTCAGTAATAATCATTCTCCCACTTTTATTGTTTTTGACTATGATTCAAGTTTAGAAAATACAAAGCAAACTACAGAAAACAATAATAACTAAAGTCAGATAGACCAATATTTTGATTTCCTGTAACAAATAAATTAGGAAAAAAAATGGAAAAATCCAGGATTTTAATATAATCATGATAATGTATTCTTCCCAAAGCAATAATTGGTGAAAAAGACAGGAATTCTTGGGATATTTTTTTTGCTTCAGATTTAATTTTATATCAAATTGTTAATATTTCAGTGTTCATTATTATCCTATCTCTTACTGTGTTTCTTCCTCTATTCTTAGG